CCCCCCCCAAAGCTTCATTCCCTAAAGTCCCCTAAAGGTTAGACACCTAGTCTGTCCCTTCCAGTCTCGCTGGTGCCTGGCGCTGCGGAAGGCAGCTGGCCGGCCAGCTGGGGCGCCCTGGCAGCAGTGGGGGGCCGAGCCCGCGCTGGGGGCCGGCCCCTCCCTCACCTCATGGTACATGGGGCAGGGGGCTGCGCCCCTGCCCCGCCGGCCCGGTCGGCCCTCTCCCGCCAGCAGAGGCCAGTGCGGCAGCCAGGGCGGCGCGGGGCTGCTCCTTTTAAAAGTCAACGAGGACCGCCGACCGCGAGCCGGCGCACGGCGTAGGCGCAGGGCCCAGACCCCCAGGTGCAGACCCCGGCAAGGCGGTCGTGAGAGCTGCAATCGGGTTCCAGGGCTGGCGGATTGAGCGGAGCGCCCTTGGTCCTTCCTCCTTCTCTGAGGTCTCCCAATACCCCTAGGTGTTCATAGGTATTTTACAGTGACTGTTCTAAGCTTCCATTTTTTCAAGGGTCTTGCCCACGGGCTCTCAGCCGTGATGACGGATGGCAAACCTCAGATCTAAGCTGAAATCCAGGCCTTTTCACTACAGTGATCCCCAATTATTCCAAATCAGTGCCCCTATAAAGCTTTCCCAGTATCGTCTATATAAATCCACCAGTTACAGTTTCATGGGGCTTTCTTGTAGAATTTACAAAAATAGGTCTATAGAACATGATTTTGAGTACTCCACATACTCCAGGAGATGCTGATATCAAGCACCTGTGGTCAGGATGGGGGTCCCCCCCCCCCCCCCCCCCCACACACACACAGCCCCGCAGCCCTAACAAAATCTACCAAAATTAAAACTGAGGGAGGGGGCATGAAGTATTTGGCCTGACCTAAGGACATCTTTGCTTTTGACTCATGTTTTAACAAAGTTAGAGAAGACATCCACATGCATTTCCCAAACCACATCTGCATTTGCTAGAGGAAAATCTAATCAGGAGATCCTAGAGAATCATTACCACTATTGTGTTGTACATATAGAAAACATTCAGGAAAATCTGAACTCACAAAGCAAATTGCTTAAATCATAATGAATCACGTCTATTAATTATGTAGTATTTAAAATAACAAACTCACTTTGGGTATTTAGTATATCCAGTGGAAGAGAAATTTAAAAAAAAAAAACATTTTTGGAGGATTATATCCATTGTGTGAAATGAGATCTACCCACGCATTATGACATTTTCATTTAACTTTCATTTACTTTTGTATTTAACATTCAATTTTTAAAGACGGGTTTAACATCCTCAGAATCCACTCTGACAGTAAAAAGTATTTTTGTATATCAAGCAGGTCCTTATAATCTTGTATCTACCAAATTTTGTTTTCTCTCTTGCCATGCTCTATAGATTCTTTGGACACTATACTTTCCACATTCAAGATTATGCACCTTTTACTGGAACCATTTCGAAGTTTATATGGCGTCATTTTTAGACATCTGTAGAAAGTAACTGACCTTTGTTCTGGCTCCTTATCAAACCGGATTAACTA